CAATGCCATGGCTGTATGAAAGCCTAGATTTTTTCCCCTGGAACCTGCAGTCTACTGTCTAGTTATGCGGGCTCCCTTTGGCACAGACAAATGCAAAGAGAGATGGGGCTCCGGATTAAACCGTGCCTCCAGGCAACTTCAGGCCAATTTAAATCACAACCTATTGGTCTAGTTCAGACTAATCAACCTCTAAAGGTCATACTCCAGCCTCTTCCCTCTTCCTTTTGCAACTTTTCTTCATTATAATAAAGCACCTTTGGTCACATCCTCCCCCTCAAGCCACACCCTCACTGGAATGCTGCCAGTTCACTCCTCCCTCCCTGCCTCCCCCCCTTCAGCTCTCTGTATCTCCCTCCTTCTTTTGGTTCACTGATGCTCTAAGGGGGACCAACTCAGGGGGTGGAAGAGACAGGTCTGGCTGATGCAGGGAACTCCCGTGGGCAGATGACGGGGAATAAGTTTCTATGCACTCAGGGAGCAGATTGCAGAGGGCTCGGGATGGCATCCATAGGCCTAGGGAGTCTTTGGAGGCTTGGTTGCGGGGACAGGGGTCGAAACCATCTTTTTTAGAAACTTGGCGGTTGGTGTGGGAAGAGTAGGAATTTGGGGGGTACTTTGGAGAACCAAGTCGAAGGTTGTTAACAGTGGTCAAAGAACCACATTTCAGGATCTGGACTCAGGTGATGGCAGCAGAAATTGTGACGAAGGAACGTATGTAAGAAGCATTTCCCAGGGATGAGGGACAGATCTCAGAAGAAATGGGAGGACAGGGTCAAAGGTAAATAATGCCTTGCTTTCAACCCTGGGTGACTAAAAGCTGGGAAATATGGAAAAGGGGATAGGTTTAGAACCACAGGGTCTTCCTGACATGTTCACTATGAGCTGATGGCAGGACAGACAGCCAAGTGGAGATGCCCTGTAGTCAGCTACAGGTGCCTGGGTAAGAAACTGAAGATGGGGAGCCATCGGTGTGGAAGGAATACTTGAGACCACGAACAAGGCAGTCAAGGGCAAAGAGAATAAACATTAGTAACTCAGCCCTTTCTTATTCATACTGTTCCTTTCTTGCACGAACATAAATGCGTTCTGCCTTTGGTTCACTCGCATTCAAGTCCAAAATGTGGCTCTTGGTACTAAGTTTACTGAACTATTTGACCTATGGGGCAGGATATAAATAACAACAACAACAACAACAACAACAATAACAACAAAACAAAAAAACAACTGCCATTAACGACTCATATAATCAGGAGCACATGGTTTAAGCAACAGAACCCCCACTTTTTCTCCCAACATCTGGCACATCAGTACAAAAGCCTTCGTATACCTTTTCTCTGGTTAGGACCCCAGTGGCTGAGTGGGCGGCATCGCTGTTCCTTCTCGGAAATCCACCCTTCCCGGCTTAACTAAGCAGGAAGGAGAAATAGGTATCTGGCTCCGGAAGGGGTCGGGGACTTGGGGAGACTGGGAGATGTGGAGGGAATGAGAATGGTACCATCAGGTAAAGGCACAGGCTGATACATAAAACTCCCTAAAGGTGCTTATGGTGCCTTCCAGCCTTTTCCAAGCCGCTCTGCCTCCCCACAGGTTGTGGATTGGAAGAAAGCAACGGTTACTGTGAAGTATCCCGAATGTCTTTCCGGTTACTGTGAAGTATCCCGAATGTCTTTCTTTTCCTTACCAGAAACACATTTGTCAGGAGATTGATAAAGTCAAAGTGGCAAAATCAGATCCTGGCAGCCACTAGAAGGCCAAAGACTACCCTGTTGCTTTTTCAAGCCTACTGCTTCTCCCATAGGGTCTACTCAGCCCAGACGAACCGTCCTCAAACTCCACCCCCGACATGGACACACTAACCAATCTCAATCCCCACCAACTCCACACGCTGCCAGGGTAGGGGCAGAACTGTGGCCCATCAAAAGCCAAACTGTTTCACAAACGAATGCACTGTGATACTCGCCTAGAAATCGTCAGAAAAATAATAAAACTAGTGACTCTGGCAGTAATAATGTTCAGTGAGTGAGTGCTTGCTATCGTGCCAAGCACTGCTATACCAAAAACAACCGTAAGTAAGAGCATGACAGTTCTGTCTAAATAACGTGGCGCCAGGACATATATCATGACGAGAAAATACAAGTGAGAAGTTATTAAAAGGAATGCTCTCCCACGACTGATAGGAAAAGTAAAGCGGCTCATTACCGAAGCCTCTGGAATAGAGACAGACCCAGGTCACTATTTGGCTGTGTTACCTAACCTCTCTGGGCCCCGGTTTCCTTATCCGTTAAATGGGGATAATAGCAGTACCTCTGACTTAGGCTGGTTGGGAAGGTAAATAAAATAAGTACCTTATATTCACTGGCACATTGCCCGGTGCATAAGCATTCCTCAATAAATGTCAGCTGCTGTTATTAGAAAGCTTTTGTATTATTGTTCATTATTACAAGAAAGTAGTTATATGTCCAATCCTATCTGTAAAAGTCGGATAACACCTTCGACTACAAGGGAGGGTTTTAGAAGGACCCCAAACTATGAAATGTTATATGCAAAATACGTGCCATTCAGTACTTTTGTCCAGACTCAGGATTAAACATTGCTTTTTCTTCCTTAAATGGAAGTCATTACAGTAACAAAAAATAACGTGGTCACTTCTGTAACCCCCATTAGGAGGACTGAGGTTAGAGAAAGTAATAATCATGGGAGTTCTCCTATCGTGTGAACCTGGACCCACCCCCACCCCCCCTTTCAATGCTACTGATGACATCCCATGATTATTACATGATTATTAAGACAAGGGCTTGCTAGGGAACACATTACCAACAGAATTCTGAATTCCCGCATTTACATTAGGAGTTCACACATATATTCTATTGTACTTAGCCTAGGAAAACACTTCTAACCCAACCAGTTAGATCACCAAACTGGCTTTCAATACAAACAAGAATGGGATGCTTTCATATTTTGCCCCAGGGCCAAGGGTTATCAACCCATCAACTCTGAACTGTATGATAACCTTTCATACACAAATGAGTCCATTATGGTGTTAATTTTAAACAGAACTTGAAGAGAAAGGAACTTCCTTGGCAAATAATTTCTAGGATACGAAAGTCAAATATCTGAAGAAAGAATAGAAACTAACACCGCTGTCCAACGGAAGTATAGTGCATGCCACCTATGTCATTTTGTATTTTTAAGTAGCCACATTTTTAAAAACTGAGGTAGGTGAAATTGATAGTATATTTCATTTAACCCAATATATAAAAAGTATGGTTGCTTAAATTTGTAATTGATCTAAAAGTGGTTAATGAGATGTTTTATACATTTTTGTACCGAGTTTTCAAAATCAAGTGTTTAAATTACATTTAGAGCACATCTTTTTTTTTTTAATTTTTAATGTTTATTTTTGAGAGAGAGAGAGAGAGAGAGAGAAAGAGAGAGAGAGAGACAGAGTGCGAGCTGGGGAGGGGCAGAGAGAGAGAGGGAGACCCAGAATCCGAAGCAGGCTCCAGGCTCTGAGCTGCCAGCACAGAGCCCCACTCGGGGCTCCAATTCATGTACCGTGAGATCGTGACCTGAGCCGAAGTGGACGCTTAATTGACTGAGTCACCCAGGCGTCCCACAGTTACAGCACATCTCGATTCAGACAAGTCACCTTTCAAGTGCTCAAAAACCACATGTGGCCAGTGGGTACTGTTCTTAACAGGGTAAATATAGCCAATCTAAAACATGAATGGTATATCTGAAGAGCTGTGCCTACTCTCGCCAACACCTCAGCCCTTCACCCTCATCACTGGAGCCTTTATAATGTCGCCCCCCGCCCCCACCATCCCTGAGTTGTGAAAAAGAAGGGGGAAGGATGTGTTTTTAACAAATCACCTTGGAAACCCAAATCCATTTCCCCCGTGGAAACAATAACAAACACAATAGTTCTTTGGCTAACTGACATTAAGGGTTAAGAAGGCTTTCCTGGGGAGGAAGGTCTGGGAACCTAATCACCATTTAGAACATCGTATCCAGGAGGTAGTGTGGTCCAGCTCACAGAAAGTACTCACACGAAGGGACTGCCTGGATCTCTCATTTACACTCTCGGTGAAAGGGAACCAGAGGCCATGTTTACAAAGAATTCTTCATTTAAGAACTGAAGCCAGTGGGGTCCCGTCTTCATACCTGTCGCTCCCCCCATACAGAGGGTCCTTCGACCCTGGCCTTCTCTGGGAAGCGCATCTCTCCCTGAGTCGTGGGAACTGCCGCCATGTTTGACCACTCCATGCACCTAAGAACCCTGTCTCATGAGCCGTTCTGATTATCTTCTCGAAGCACAGGCAAACGGAGGACAATAGCTGCCCTGGCCTGACATGCGCCCTGCTCTTCTGCCATCCCGTCCACCCTGATCCCAACCTCCAGGCCAAAAGCTCTCACGCGATCAGCACTGATGCAAAACGAGGCAATTGCAACTCCATTTTGGGGGTCGCCTCCCCCTTTCCTTCTGCCCACTCCCTAGCCCACCTCAATGCAGGCCACTGCGAATAAGCAAACAAGTGTACAGACAGCAAGCTTTTGCCTCACTTCTCTTCAAATCCACTTCACAGCTCTTCATCCCAGGAAAAACGTACAAACTCTAGCTCAGAGGTTTCAAAGCCCTTTTGTGGTCTCGTCTCGGCTAGTTACAATCCTGACTGGATGAACTGAATTCACACTGCTGTGTCCTGCCCACCCTCCTCCCTCACTTCCAATGTGTTGGTTAAGAGTCCACCGTTCTTCGGGCGCCTGGGTGGCACAGACAGTTAAGCGTCTGACTCCTGATCTCAGCTCAGGTCAGGATCTCACAGTTCAAGAGTTCAAGCCCCACATTGGGCTCTGTGTTGACGGTGTGGAGCCTGCTTGGGATTCTCTCTCTCCTTCTCTCTGACCCTCCCCCACTTGTGCTCTGTCTCTCTCTTTCAAAATAAATAAGCAAACTTAAAAAAAAAAAAAGAGTCCACTGTTCTTGACACACCCCATACCTGAATCCACTTTTTCCAGTCACCTTTTTCCAATGTCCATTCTCAAGAACTTTGATGACTAGGACTGCGTCTTTTACTCTGCTGGTCTCCCCCTGGGCCCGGACTTTCTGGCCTATGTCATAGGCCCCTGTAACAGACCTGGTCCAGAGAGGGTGCTCAGTGAACATATGGCAAATGAACAGCTAGACTGCTACAGTAGCAATCCACTGGCAGACTTCTCTTCAGGAAACACCATTTTGATCATATCACCACAGTGGTGACAAAGGTCAGACCAACAGTTACCTGCAGGAAGGAAGGGATCACAGGAAGAAGCATTTTCTGAGTTGACAGAAATGTTCTGTATCTTGGTCTGGGGTGGAGGTTACATGAACGTATAAAGGTGTAAAAATGCATTGAGTTGTTAAGATTGCTGTGTTTTAGTATATCAGTTATACTTCAACAAAGAAAGGGGATTCATATACATTGGTCTCGTAAAAAATACAATTCTGCTACATTACTTTTTGTCTATTTACTGAGTACCTGCTAAGATCTAGGCACTCCCTTAAGTGCTCAGGGTTCAGACAGAAGTTCAAGTAGGTGCCCTTGAAAGAACTCATATTGGGGAGGCCAACATGAACACCGGGAATCACCACATGACACGCTAATTGCTATAGTGAAGGTCTGGACAGTGTCGGGGGATCACAGTGGGAGTTGTCACACTGCTGGGAGTATGGGTGGGGCAGAGGGGCAGAATGACTTTTGAGAATGTAGGATCAAGAGTTGAGGCACGTCAGGTGAACAAGTGTGTCCCTGGCACAGGGAACAACATATGCGATGGCACAGAAGCAAGAGGCATAGTAAGTCTGGGGAAGACAGCCTTCTCGCTGTGGCCAGAGGCTGAGGTCTAGGAGAAGGGAAAGGAGTGGAAAGACACAGTTGAGAAGGTGAGCTAGGGTCATGGAAGCCTTGGAGGAGTCTGGCTTTTACTCTGAAATGTACTGGGGGAACCACTGAAGGATTTTAGGAGGGGGGTGACTTTATTTTACTTTTAAGAATGACCGATTTAGGGGCACCTGGATGGCTCAGTTGGCTGAGCATCCGACTCTTGATTTCAGCTCAGGTCATGAGCTCAGGGTCCGTGAGTTTGAGCCCAGAGTTCGCCTCTGTACTGACATCGTGGAGCCTGCCTGGGGTTCTCTCTCTCTCTCTCTCTCTCTCCCCCCCCCCCCCCTCTGCCCCTCTCGCGCGCTCTCTCTCTCTCTCAAAATGAAATAAACTTAAAGGAAAAAAAGAACGACCAATCTGGTGGCAATGAGGGGGAGGAATCAGTGAGGGGCAAGACCAGACCAGAAGCAGGGAAACCGGTGGAGGGGCTGTTGCAAAAGCAGTCCAGGTGAGGAAGGACCAAGAGTGAAACAAGGGAGAAGCAGGTAAGAATGAATGGCCAGAGGAGAGGTTTGGGGGTACAGAACACACAGGACTCTGCAATTGTGCCAGTACTCCCTGTCACCTGGCAGCGGGTGCCCAGTCTGGAGACAGCACTTACTCCCCTGGCCAGAGATCTAGTCTTTTATCGAAAACTTTGCTTGTTTGTTTGTTTTTTTTTTTTTTTGAAGAAATATTTTATTCACTGCAAAACAACCAGCAGAGGTTCAGATAGAGTGGCATATATGAGTGATGAAGGGTTATTTGTATAGGCTTTTCACTAAAGTTCTAATTCCTGGCATAAGGGAAAACAGTGCTACCACTCACGGTACCTCACTCTCAAAATTCTTTCTGGTAAACTACATTTAAATCATAGGTTGGACAAAAGTCTGTAAGCATTTACTTCGTAGGTATGTGTGTAGAACTGACATATTGTTGTATTAGTTTCACGTATACAACATACGGATGTGATATTTGTATATATTGCGGAACGATCACCACATTAAGCCTGGTTAACATCCACTGCCATGTGTAGCCACAAAATGGTTTTCTTTTTTTCCTATGATGAGAACTTTTAAGATTTACTCCCTTAGCAACTTGCAAATATGCAACACAGTATTTTAACTATCATCACCATGCCATACATTACAAAAAAAAAAATCCCCATGACTTATTTATTTTATAACTGGAAGGTTGTACCTTTTGAGCCCTTCAGTCATTCTGCCCACCTCCCACTTCCCGCCTCTGGCAACCGCCGATCTGTTTTCTGTACCTGTGAGCTTGTGTGTTGTTTTCGGTTTTTGTTTAGATTCCACATATAAGTGAGATCAGATAGTATTTGTCTTCCTCTGTCTGACTTACGTCACTTAGCATGATCCATGGTTTGCAAATGGCAAGATCTCCTTCTTTTGTGCAGCTGGATAATATAGGTATCACTATTTCTTCATCCATTTATCCATCAATGGACACTGATGTTGTTTCCATATCTTAGCTATTGTAAATAATGCTGCGATAAACACAGGGGCCTGGGGGTGCAGGTATCTTTTTGAACCAGTGTTTTTATTTTGAGATAAATACCCAGAAGCAGAATTGCTGGAGCATAGGGTAGTTCTATTTTTAATTTTTTGAGGAACCTCCACACTTTCCCAGAGTGGCTGCACCAGTTTGCATTCCCACCCATAGCACACAAGGGTGCCCTTTTTCCCACATCCTCGCCAACACCTGCTATCTCTTATCTTTTTGAAGACAGTCATTCTAACTCGCATGACGTGAGACCTCATTGTGGTCTTGATTTGCATTTCCTTGATGCTTAATGACCTTGAGCATCTTTTCATGCACCTGTTGGCCATCTCTAGGTCTTCTTTGGAAAAAACGTCTATTCAGATCCTCTGCCCATTTGTAAATCAGATTGGTATTTTGCTACTGCGTTGGAGGAGTTCTTTACAGATTTTGGATATTAACCTCTATCAGATACATACGTGATGGGCAAATATTTTCTCCCATTCAGTAGGTTGCCTTTTCATTTTGTTAATGGTTCTCCTCCCTTTTCTAATTTCAAAATAACTATCATCGCATGCTTTGAAGGGCCAGTGAGGAAGGTGAAAAGGAAGCTAGGTCAGGGGAGACACAATTCATCATAAAAGTCAATGCACCGCCTTTGTGGCATTTCGCGTGTAGAGTGCACCCTCTACTCTCATGTTGCTCTCACAGGCCGTGTGGCTACTGTTTCACCCAAAAGCACTTCCTTAGCTTCCAACCACAGTGAAAGGCTCCCCTAAAGGTCACTCTTCTGTCCAAATAAGGCCCATAAAATACACTTGTGGGCATATGAAAAAGTTATGCGTTCGTTAAAATACTAATAAATGCTGGGAACACAGGTCATTTAAAAAGCCCAAGTTTAGGGGCGCCTGGGTGGCTCAGTCGGTTAAGCGTCCGACTTCGGCTCAGGTCGTGATCTCACGGTTCATGGGTTCGAGCCCCGCGTCAGGCTCTGTGATGACAGCTCAGAGCCTGGAGCCTGCTTCGGATTCTGTGTCTCCCTCTCTCTCTGCCCCTCCCCTGCTCGCACTCTGTCTCTCTCTGTCTCTCAAAAATAAATAAATGTAAAAGAAAAATTGTTTAAAAAGCCCAAGTTTACTTCCTAAATCTGTAAGCCAAAATACTGCCTTTGCTGATACATGTTGATAAAGGCATACAGATACCAGTAAACACAACTAGCTACAGGATGTGAAAAAAAGCAACACTCAAGGGAAAGTTTCACTTTTTCAAATGCTCTATGTTTTCAAATTACAGACTTGGTCTAGTTCTTTGAAACATCTCTTCCTATTTATATATATATATATAAAAAAACACTTCTGCCCACTATTTATACATGTGTTGCAGCTATTTCTAGAAAAGTGACTCAGGTTTATATTAAAAAAGCATTTCCTTCAATAAAAAAGATATCATTTTAAGAAAGTCACTTCAAACATCAAACTATTTTGAATATTTATTATGTTCCCCAGTCTCATGGTTCACTTTCTTCTTGGTGCCCTCAATTTGCTGGGAGCTGGTAGTACCCACAGGCTTACCTCAGCTATCTTTCACTGAATAAAAGGAAATTGTGATTCATGGCCAAACAACACACACAAGGCAGCGGAACCTCAGCCAAAACTATTAGGAACTAGTATGCAAAACAAAGCCCACTTTAAAAATTTTTTTCCTGTTTATTTATTTTTTTTGAGAGAGAGAGACAGGGAGTGGGTGGAGGAGGGGCAGAGACAGAGGGGAAACACAGAATCCGAAGCGGGCTCCAGGCTCTGAACTGTCAGCCCAGAGCCCGACACGGGGCTCGAACCCACGAACCCAGAGATCACGACCTGAGCTGAAGTCAGACCCTTAACCAACTAAGCCACCCAGATGCCCCTATTATATCCATATATATATATATATGGATATACTCGAAATTTTAAACTATTAAACAGGGTTTCATCCCAGCTGTGTAGATACCGTTGTATGAAAATAGTGTTAAGCCTTGTGACACTATGTATAAAACGTGTCTACAAAGCAAAGCTTGAAACAGATGTAGCACAAAATGCTTGCGTTCCACATGCTTTCTATATGGTCCCCAAATGAAACCGAATTCCATCCACGCCAGACTGCAAGTAACAGGTATGACGAATTTTAAAAGAGCACATAGCCATCCCTAAGTGCAGTAAGAATCCACTAAGCCCTACGTGAAATACTATATTCATGTACACAACAGTATACATCAGAGAAAAATTCCAGTCACTGTAACTTTTGACAAGATTTATTGTCAGAGCCTGTAAGTGGATATACTGGGAAGAGTTCCACGCCTATTAGAAAAAAAAAAAAAAACCCTCCCAAATGCACAACTCATGCCTGTTTACACCACCAACAGCCCTGAATCTTCCAGTAGCGCACACACACACACACACACACACACACACACACACACACAAATCGTTCGGCAGTGTCTGGAGCTGGATATAACCAAGACCTGAGAAATAAGTAGTTATTCTGAGAAGAGATAAACAATGACCCTCCAACTGGAGAGCAATTGAGAAATACAGTTCACACTATTCTGCAGAAAAATAAGCTACCAGCAAAGCCCTATGTAACATCACTTGGCTGAAGGGACCCAGACTCTTAACGGAGAGTGAAGTTTTGAGTAGGGACCAAGATGCCTGCTGACAATCAAAGACAGACCAATTTGATAATCGGTGTGACAGAAAACAGACCTTTCTGGCTCCCAGCTATTAGCTAATGAAAGACTCAACTAACTTTTAAGAAAAATTCACCAGATGTTCTAAAATTTCAGGCCTTCCCAAATGCCTAGATCGTAAAAGCCAAAGAACAAATAGTTACCACATGCTGAGGGGAGGGGTCGGGGAGGCAGAGGACTGGCTGAGGAGACCCAGAAAAAGAAAATGCTACCAAAGATGTACATCGTTAGTGATTCGGGTACGGACAGCAACATGACGAGAACATCATTAAGATAACTAACCGGTAACCATTTTCTAGCGCATGTAAGTATCATGTGAGATTAAAATGAAAAACCTGAGCAAACCTTTGAAAAGCATCAAGACTAAATCATAAGCTAACTAATGATCGTTAATTAAAAGTATTACACAGGGTGCCTTCTCCTATCCCATCTACAGAAGAAAACAAAGATCAAATTCAACTTGGAAGGATGCTTTTTTTCTAAAGGGGAAAAAATGTGATATATAACATGGCAGGATTAAGAGAGCTGAGAGATGAAATTTCCACTAAAAACAAAGTCCAACTTTCCCCTCTGTTCATAGAACTATCTGGAGCCTCTAAAATACCATGGATAAGTTACACAGCCACTAAAAATTTTAAGTATGAAGACTATGTGGCAACCCAGAATAATTCATGGGACAAAACAGGCGGGAAAAGCAGGACATAAAGTAACATGTATATACCATGATAAAGATGCTAGGTAAAAAGATGTCACCATGGTTGTTGGGGGGGGGGGGAGGGCGGGGGGAGGGGGTGGGAAGGTGAGACTTTCTTTTTCCTTTCCAAAGATTCTGTAAATATTGCCACGAAATGTTTCTAGATCAAAAACAACAACAACAACACTTTTAAATGGCAAGTCTTGGCATTTCAGAAAAATGTTAAGTAAGTTATCCTTTAAAGAAAAAAAAGCCACACGGCTTTGTGGCTTATCCTTTTTCCT